GACATGAAGAAAGCGGCCAGTGGGAGACAACTCTGGAGTTGACATGTACGAATACGCGTGCCCGACGCCGCCAATGGAGAAATGTATTAGGTAGTTGCAGCTCAATATCTTGCGCAACAGCCACGAATCGTCATGCAGTTTCTGTCTGCTATGAGTGGCCAGCTTCACCGCTCATTCGACTCTATGACGTGAAAGATAGAATGAGAATAGCAGCTATATGAATGTAGCGCTCGAATTCAAGAGAATGGTTTACGTTCGAAGCCAAGTCTACAGACAATGAGGATATTGCAATGACCCCATGTACGACATGTCCGAATTTCTGAATCTCTCGATCGCAATATTGCTGCGGCACACACTACAGCCTAACCACCGCTATCGACTTTGACAAAGACAGAGGCGATTTTCTTCATTCATTCAGCATGAACGACCAGGCAAAAGCAAACGGCAGCGAGCCTCATGCCAAAAGCTCCAAAAAGTTAGACTCAATGCGAAGGCGGAATCTAACCGCTATTGACTCCCCGAGGTGGGCTCGAACCACCAACCTCCAGATTAACAGTCTGACGCGCTAGCCAATTGTGCCATCGGGGATTTGAGCTCATTTGTTGCTGATGTTTTCGGATAATTTTCCGTTTATGAATGTAGTGGTTGGGCTAAGGTAGGGTCGGCGCCGGTTGCGAGAGCGTGACCTCCTCGGAACCTATCCGAAAGCGAACCCGCAAAACGGGGGTAAGCTGGAGCTGGTGCCGGAAACAAGCGAAAAGAAAAACGACCGGCGGCACGAGTCCGACTCTCGACTCTTTTGTCCTTAGGGGCCCTGAGGGTGGTTGTTTCTCTTTCCCCACGCCAAATAAGCCCCGACTTCTAAGAATAATACCCTACGTGCTACCTACTACAAGGTATTCCGTACCCCATGCCCCGGGGAGAAAAATCAAAAAGAACACGAACAAAGAAAACGCGAGAATAGAAAGATAGATAGCAGAGAAAATGCGATTCATATTGCCTGCTCAACGTCGCATACGCAGATCTCAATTTCGACCAGCTCTTTCAGCCCTCTTTTTTCTGCTCTATCTCTTTCCCTGTCTTTCTCTCTTCTCTTCCTCAAGGTGCTAGCTAATCCCGCCAAAGAAAAGCCACCAAAAGCCTAGCGGTGCCAGCCAGGAAGGCCACAAGGCGGCGTCTAGCGGAGATGCCAAAATGACTGGCGCAGAAACAACCCGTTCACACACACATCCTGTCGGGTCATCCATCGGCCATCCATGATCCCGCCCCCGGAAGGGGGGGGGGGGCCTTTGGGGCCTTGAGGCTCGCCGCATCGGCTCCCACCTCCAGAGCCCCCAGGGCCTTTTTCGACTTCATACCTCGTCCCATCAAAATAAGGCGCGCCCGCAGACCGTTTGGTTTTTTGGTTCCCCCCTCTACGTCCTTCGTGCCTTGCCAAGAAGCGGGAGAGCGGGCGCTGAGTAGGGACCAATATTCCTTCAAGACGGTCTGAGCTTTCATTCTCCTAACTTGACTGAACGTAGGAAGCTGCCTTCTCTTTAGACTTTGACGCTTTCCCCCGTGCGATCATCTCTCCCCCTAACGTCAAAGAGGTTCAGAATTACCGTCATACCCGGTACATCCCAAAATCGCCATCATGGTTCGATTTTCCCATCCCTTAACGAGATGAGTGAGTGATCGATGTGGTCTAGCTAGCATATCAGGTGTCTGCGGAATTCCGTCCGCCCACGCACCAATCAGAGAGATACGCTTTCGAAAGCCTGTCAGCGCCTCGCGTTTAACTCGCTTCCTTTGCCGTCTCATTTTACCGCCTTCCGCCACCCATCCAAAGGTAACCACTTGGCCCAAGCAGGGCTAATCTTATAAAGTTTGACGTCGAGTCAATTTCGGGAATGGGGGACCTATGGTGTAATGTAGCGTGGGTGAGTAAGTGAGTGAGCGCGCAGACGTGTGAGTGTGAAGTATTTGTGTGTGTGTGTGACGCCGCACCGCCGCCATGCGTCCTTTTTCACAGTGAGAGGCTATGTCTGCGCTAGGCATTCATCAGATTTAACGGTCTCCTTTTCGGTGCCGTAAGTGCCGAAGTAGATGCCTAGATCCGCGGGAGGAGGAGGCCGCCGCCGAAACCGTCCTTCTCAGCTTGATCCGATGTCTCGTCTCATCGAGGCAAGTTGGGGAAAAAGGGGGCGCTGTTGAGGCGTACGGTCCACCAGACGACCACCACCGTACTCTTTCAGGTCCGTGATGCCTTCAATACCCGCGCCGCCGCTGGGTTGATCGCCGTTGCCGCCTCCCCTCCCCTGAGTCCATGGCAGTGGTGTAGGTAGGCACGGGATGCGCCGGTTTCGGGAATCGGGATCCAGGCCAAGCCTCACACCTCACACACACCCACTCCATGATCCATCAACTTTCGAATATTCCGAAAGTTTGACATGTCTAGGTAATGCCGGCTCATCGCGGATACCAGATTCCCGGTTGCCTAGACTAGCTGCGACTGTGGTGTTCGGTACCACACAAAGCTGTCAAGTAAAACCGAAAAGAAAAGGGACCAAAAAGTGCCTCTAAAGCTTCCATGGAATGAACTCCGGATAATGGGACCTGACTCGCGGACAAAGTGTAAATGCGCCCCGCGTCTGGTCGACGACCGCAACGACATTCGCTGGTCTAGCCATCACGTTAACCACAATTGGGACGATTTGGCGAGGGACGGAACCAAAGAGATGACCTACTGTAGTGTAGAGAAGACGCACGCCGCGCACACCCGTCTCAGAAAACAAAGTTCATCATGTCCGATAGTCTGGCAGACTTTCAGACTTTCCAGAAACCTTGTGGCGCGTGTCACCCGACGTGAGTGGTGCGGATGACAAGAGCAGGGCGTTAGTAACGCGCCACACCGTAGCCCAGCGTCAAACGTTTTGGGGCAGCAACCCTCAAAGGAATCCATTAGTTTCGTGCTCTTGGTGCGCCAAACGCTCTTGATATGACGACCAAGTCATGCCATCCCGCAATGGCAACCTAGGCAATCCACCACCACCAACACCCAACCAGCCAACCAACTAACCCCCATTTCGAAAATAGATTGGTCACTCTGGAAAGGGGGGCATTCCCGTGAGGCTACTAACAAGGTTGCCATCAACCCGGGCCAACTGTCCAAGGGGCATTTCCCGACGCTAGGAAGTCATGTATGCATATCACCCTAATGCATCATCATCTGGAGTTGGTTTGCCGTCTCTCACACACACTGCACTTCTCCTGAACGACAACGGGATCGAGTATCGAGTGAAAGAGACTTCCACGCCACTCCGGATTCTCACCGGGTGATCCGTATGCCTATCAAACACTAGCTTGCGGGTTGGAGAACGGCAGAAGCCCCGAGGTGGCAAACGGTTGGACCCTTGTGACGGAAGTTTAACTGCATCAAGCCCATGGTGAGGGTCTTGAGAGATTTCTTGGGCCAGGGCATAGGGCTTGAATATCATTGGGAATCTGTCCGAGAGGATGGTTCATTGGCAATCTTTGTAAAATGCCCTCGGAGGGACTAACACGGCAGGACAGTAGCTAGACACGCTAGATAACATCGACGGGGTTCCGTCATCCGCCAAATCATACTCAAATGACATAGTCTTAATCAAACTGGTGATGTTACTCCCACACGTCGCAGCAAGTTATAGAAAGCTGAGAGATCGCGATCTCGTTGTTGATCAACGACATGTCACCGAACCGCACGGCTTCCTATCCAGAGAGGGGAGGTGATGGGATGATCCGCACTCTATTGGAGACGCAGAACTGCATCCCAAGGATCGGGGCATGAACGTCTCGCACTTTACTTCATTTCCTGCCGGGAAGCGGAAACCCACGCAGCGCCATCATGGCGAGCGATGATCTCGCCAATCTCGGGCTTGGGGCATGCAGAAGTTGCAATTGTGGATGCTAGCGTGTAGAGTTGGTACACCGCAAGGTGGTAGTAGACTAACGGAGCGGTGGACGTCTTGCGCTCAGAAACTGCGCATGTGCTGAAGAAGACACTGACCGGTATTGGGTCGGCCGTGCTGTGGCTTTCGCAGCACAGCAGAGGCCGTACAACGTTGCTTGATGATCTATGGTCTTGGGTGCAAGAAGCCGTCGAGAGATCGGGTGAGTCTTCCCTGCCGAACGCAGTGACCCAAGGGAAGGAGACAAGCCAGAAAAAAGGAAGGGGGGGGGGTGCTCCAGTGAGGGGGGGGATTGACGGATGGCGGATGTTGTGACAAATGCTTGAGGTGCAGCAGATGGATATGTCGTTCGACAAAACATCAGGAACTTTCCCCCCTTGCACGCGTCGAAGATCATGGAACCTATACAAGGGCACACCCCTGAAGCCAGGGACAGAGCGAACTTGACAACTTTCGGGCCAAGCAGCCAACAGATACCCGCACAGAGAAGCCCAAGCTGTATTATCGAGCACGTGGAGGCAACAAGTCGACTGACGGCTGGCAGGGCGGACCTAACCCAGACCCGTTGGGGACTAAGTTGCGTTCAGCCACAGACCGAGGCAAAGAGATGGCGTTCGACGGCCGCGGGGTGCGCTTGTTCTGCGGTAATCCATGTGCCTGAAGCCGGTGGATAGCGAAAAAGTTGGCGTGTTGACCTAGCTGCGCCGACTAAAGTGTCAATCATGAGTATAGGCCGAGTCAGAGAGACACAGCGTCGATCAGGTTCGACCATATCATTGTCGGCCATGGAAGCGCCAGACGTTAGGCTCTAGGAAACAAAAGCCAAGGCGAATTAGGTGCCAAGAGGGTGGTCAAGCCGTCCCGGCGGCCACGATTCGTTCCACGAGGCCAGCGACTGGTCGTTCTTAGCCCGCAGCGCTTGTCATGCTGTGAACTGTCAGAGCCCTGGTCACAGGTCAGTGGTGGAAATCCTCTACGAATCGTCTTGGAGTGGCTTTCTTAGCCTTGGTCTTGCAGCGTACAAGTGGCATGCAAGTATCCAGCGTTCACCCAAGCAACGGAAAGTTCTCAAGTATGAGATATGGCTGGGGAACAGGCATAAGAACCAGGATTGCGTGACTGTGCCTCGGGAAGGACTAGCGGCCCACGGCGAGAGTCGAGCAAGAGACACCGGGCTCGCGGAGAGCGGAGCCAAGGTCGAATGCGCGGGTTGAGACGGCGATGACCTCCGAAGGGCTTGCTAGGATGAGGGTCAGAGGTTGTCACAAGACCGGGGCTTGGCAACGGCGGCCGGGCGTTGGAACTTGGGCTCCAGAGTAGAGCGAAGAGGTGGTTTCGTTGGCTCATGGAAATGGCGTCTGTTAGGATGGTGGAGAGAGTTGAGGGGTGGGCACGGCACGAGAAAAGTCGGACTTCGGGTTCAACTTCCAGGGCCCATAGACGACGGGCCATGGCCGGGAAGGGAAGTGCTGCTGCTCTGCATGGTGTACGGAGTAGCAAGCGGCTCTGGGCTGGTGCTGGTATCCGCAGTGTGAACATGGTCAGGTCAGGTTAGGCCCATGGCGGTGATGCTCGCTCGGTGTGTGTAAGGTAGGTAAGGTATCCGTTGGTAAGTGTGGGAACTCTTGAGTGCGAGCCTGCGAGGGACGGGCCCAGGAGTCGGGTAGAGATGGATGGACAAACTGTCCGTGAGGTAACCGTATGTGTGTAGCAGATTACTAGTGTATCGGTTCGTTCCAATTTTCAGGGAAGAGGCAGATGAAGGAGGCATTAGGGCCATTGTTGCTCGCTTCTTCCTGCCCGGCCCCAGGCGAGGGTACGGTTAGCCTTGCTGCAGTCCAAGGGTTGTCATTGCTGTATCGGTATCCGTACATGCCTAGGTAAGGTGAGGTAGGTGTTGTTGGAGACTTGAAGTTGCAGACTTGCAGTTGACTGACCAGTTGCTGCGATGGACAGTGGAGGTCAAAAAAGAACTGGAGGGCGCTAGATGGGCAAGGCAAAGCGCAGATTCCGTTTGACACCAACCCGAGGTAGGCAAGGCCTGTGGTGAGACTTGATGCAGACTGCAGAGGCAGGTGGCAGGTGCACACAACACTCACCTGTTCCTGCCCCCGGCTCCATTACCGACCGGTTACTACTGGCTAGCGTTTCCCGATCAGGCAACCTAGAAGTTTCTAAATATAGCCCAATGCAAGGCAGCCATCTGACCGGGGGTACCGGGGGAAAGGCCAATCATCTCGCACCTGCCATCCGCTTCCTGCCTTTTTTTTTTTTTTCCTTGTCCTCATCCTCTCCCCTTCCTCTTTCCAGACGGGAGTGCAAGCATGGAAGGTTCTTTCCTCAAGGCCCCCTCCCTCTGACCACCGCTGGTACCACAAAAGGGTCTTTGGAGTTTCCACAGCTTTCATTCGAAGAAGAGCGATGGAAAAAAATAATTAAAAAGTAGCCACCGGGGCACGATGGGCTCGGCAAATCGGCTCTTTGCGCTGGGGTACGGCGGAACTAACCTTTTTCAGTCATGGTAGGTACCTTGCAGTCTTTGACCCATGTGTGTTCCTGCTTGCTTCCATTGCCCTTGCCTTTCATCGGTAAAAGTAACAAGGTACTCCGTACTCCGTATCTTCTATGGCTTGTATCCGTACCTTCTGTCTGGATTTTGATCTGGCCGCGCTTACCTGAGCAATGTTTACCGTGTGTACCTTTTGGAAGGAGGGAAGCAACAGTAGAAGCGATGGTGCCTTATGCCTTTCCAATTCCCAACTACCTACCTACCTTGATACGGAGTTAAGCTACTTTGGTTTGAAAGGGGAGAAGGAACAATTGAACCCTTTGGTGCAGCGTGCTAGCCAAGATACGTTACCTTGAAATTCCCCTCACAAAGTCGGGAAGCCACGCCGCGCGACGGGTAACGCCAAGACTTCGGCGCAACGATCAATCGAGACAACACAGCTGTGTCTTTCCCCCCGATGGCTAAGGTAGCTGCTAGCGTCCACCGGTAACAGGAGCCCTCCACTGGTTCCTTGGTCCTCCAAAGTCCAAGACTCAAAAGTGCTTGTCGATTCGAGAAACTTGAGCCCAGGAAAAAAAGCAAAGACGTCATCATGGGGCCATGTTCCGAGCAATTCTGAACGTGGTTTGGCCCTCTAACCACTCGACGCTCTCTTTCTCTCTGATGCGTAGGGTCTCTCCCTTCACCATCCTGGATGCCTCGGGTCATGAACTTTTGCATTCCTCGGCCTCACTTTCCTCTATTCGAACCCACGCTAGCGGCCGGATGGACGACATGAGACGACAATCTCTCGCTTCACCTCACTTCTCCATGGATGTCACAAATGTTGAGGCGATTGAAAATCCACAAGACTGCACTAGAGTGGCTCGTCTGGAGACTGGCACCGCGCAGACGGACATGATCCTGTCAACATGCACATCATCCGTCTTCAAGACAAGGTCTGCCGCCGGTTGGGCTCATTCTTTTGCTGTATCCCCACGGATACAGACTACAGAGATACGGATACATAGTAGAGTGCTACATTGTATTCGTACTGTACCTCCCGTCACTGACAGTCGAGACAGCATATCCAGCTCTGTCGACAACCAGCCAACCACGTCTGGCCATGAATCCATCATAATCACCAAGCTTCTTCGCACACACCCTTCCCACCTTGCTAAACCCTATCCGGTATGAGAGTCGGCCATTCATGGTGCTCCTACGCCCCCCCAGTCATTGGCCTCCCTTCGACGTTCCTTTCTGCTCCGCTAAGCGGTGGAACTCCGACGCTTCCCCTGCCGATTGTGCCCGGTGTGCCGCTCAAGGCATGGTGGGGAAGGACGGCCCTGCGCATTTTCCAGAAGCCCAGCAGAAATGCCAACAATTTTACAGCAATAAACGATAATAAACGAGAATGACCGCCTGCCGCCCACGAACGGTGAACCCACGACGGAGACGGGCGGACCAGTATGAGCGAATTACCCATATCCATATGATATGATATCCCTCGCCTCGCTGCCGATGAAGAGTACGTACCGTCTGACCATACGCTTTCGTCTACCAAGTACGGAGTACACCATGGTCTTGGAAGTTGGGCCTGCAAATTCTCCAAGAGTCCAACCCCCATCGAATCGACGTCCCATGCTCTGATCAGTCATCATTACCCTCGACTCCAAACCCCCTCCCCTGGTGGACAGCAACGGCCCCCTTGGAGACCTAGGACCCGGCCGGCAAGGAGAAACATTGGCAAAGGAAAATCTGCTAGTCACTCGGCCGACGATATGCCATAGATTGACATTTGGCAGCATAGCTGCCCGTTTGAACCCCCGAGCCTAGGGCTGTTATGCTCACCCAGTTCGCCCATGCCTTGTCCCCGGCTCGGACTCGCAGCGGATAAACTACCTTCATCAGCAAAAGTCCATGGCAGAGTCGCATCTTCTCCGCACCGAAGAGTTCTCGACGCGGAGCAAAGCTTGGAGACCCTGGCCAAGCCCATTGTCGAATGAAGGCCCAGGATAATTGAGGTCATGCGCCATATCAACAAATCACCCCCATCCACTCTGCTGATTGGCATCGCTTGCATGCGTGCAACTCTTGTGTCTCTGCATCGCTGCATTGCTGCATCTCTCTAGGTACCTCTGTCTATGCGTCTGTGGCTGATTAGTGTGCGTCCACTGACCAACCCACTGATCGGACAGCGACTGCACTCTGCAGTATGGTACTAGCTCGACATTTTGCCCTTTTCACCGCCTCCTATCCATCGAAAATATGGTTGGTAAGCCTTGCTTGGTTTGCAGCGTCTTCTGCTACCAGCACGCATCCTGATTCCTCTGTGTGGCTTCTGCCAAGGTAGCGCTTGACAAACATGGCGGGTCGGGATGGGAGGAAAGCTAGCCCCGAGACTCCGCTAGTTCCGTGGCGACTTCGCAGCTGGACTGACTTTTCATCGATCTTAAGGGAGGCTCACGGTCTCACCGGGCTGCCGGGCTTGTGGATTTCCAGAAGCTACAGAAATACACACAGCGGGCAGCATTGTGTGGGAGGACGGGAAGAAAAAAACACCACTTTCTGTGGGCGCCATGGCGCGAACAGTGTGTTGGAGAGGCAGATCTCTTTCCCTAGCCTCGAGGCTTCCGGGACCCCCCATGCGTCTACTCACCGCGCTCGGCCGTCGCGGCTCGCACAACGTCCAACTCACATATGCGGGTCGGTGATGCGCACAGGGTTTCCCTTTGCCCAGTCGGTCAAAGAGCCAATGGCAGCTGGCGGCCGCAACGTTTTCACCATCACACTGCGATCAGCCCGCGCTGTGCCCGCGCGCTGTCTGAAATTTCCCACCATCTCGACGTGACGGCGGCAGTGGGGGCATGTCAGATCAGCTATCTGCAGGGCCGATTTCGAACCCAACGTGTCTCCTTAGAGGACTCTCTAGTTGAGACTTTGACACCTCCCGAGCGCGGGATCGTCTTTGCGCCCAAATCAAACACGGCGGCGAATGTCGATCACCAACAAGTCCACCGGAGACGGAGCGAACGGCGTGCCCCAAATCGCTGCCTGTCGGCGACTTAACGAGGGAGGTGCCGCCTGTCCCAATGCTATGCATCATCGGCAGACAGCCAGCGTACTATGGAACGTTGCGTCTCTCAGCCCCAGCCGACGACGCACACGCATAACATTGCTGACGTTGCCGAATATGGAAAAGACAGAGGAGAGAAAAAAGAATTATGTGGCTCCAGATCAACAAATGCCGTCTCCCAGAGGACCCTGAGAGCTGAAATGCCCCGGTACCCGAGAAGTCTCTCCAACGCACTCGAAAGCCAAAGCACGCGGTGTGAATTTGACCGAAATCTCGCAGACAACGTGAAAGAAGGTTATTTAAGAATAGAAACCCGCCTTGCCGAATACGGCAAGATCCAGATGCCGTCAACCATGCTTCTACATGGATATTGGAAGGAGGACACCATTTTAGAGCCTCAGGCCGTCGGTCACTATTCGCCGGCCAATGGACTGAGACACACAGTAACTATGGTCGGAGGCGGGAAGGGGGGGGGAGGGGGGGAAAGTGCCACGATGTGGTGCTTTTGTTGTCAGAGGCTCGCTGACGCTCACATCACCGTATGGACCGAATTACGCAGACGGGCCGAGAAGCGTATGTTGATGTCAAAATGATGCAGGTTTCTTTCGATTCTCCTGCACCGCCGACCTCTGAGGCTTTGTACGATTCTTGTTCCTGCATTTCCTGCATCGAAACTTCGGACGGTCGGTAGGGCACGTCCGGCGGCCGCTTTCCGACCTGTCTCCGACGACTGGAAGCTGGCAAGCTGCCTCCCATTTACCTCGGTTCCTTCGACCCCAGGAGAGAAAGAGCGCCCACATCTTCAAGATTCCAACATCCCGCCCAGCAAGGCCAAACCCACTCGTGATGTCTCTTCGGAAGATTATCTCGCTGCTGCTTCACACCGCTGCTGGTCAACAAATGACAGACTCCATATCAATGTTTGGTGTGCTGGTCCTGGTGTGTTCTGTGTCATGTAAGGACATCCCTGACAGTCTGACAGGGTTGACAGGAGAGCCACACGGGGCGGTCAGGCACAAAGAAGCGGACCTCACGCGGGCCCGGCCAGAGACGGGCGACCCTTGACACGCGCGCGCGCATTCGTCGGCCTGTGTGGAAGCTGACTTGCTGGACGACGTTGAGAACAGCCACCGCCACGACATGAGCGTCACGCCCCCGAGAGCCGGCACAGAGAGGTTGACGATATGTTGCAGGTTGCGCTAAGCGGTGACACCAGGTGCCTCGTGGTTTGCGATGGCTATCTGAGATCTCGTTGACAATTCGGGAAAGCGGCTTATGACGAGCCCCCCGTTCATGTTTCTCATTCCAGGGCTGGAAAAGCAGAGCATGGGTCAGATACCCCAGCAGCGCACGCCAAAAATGGACACGAGAAACTGCTGTTTCAGCCAACCAGAACCAGAAAGACGCCCTGCAACTCCGATCTCCTAGCCCCTTGCAGATTGGTAGAGGCATGTTCAAACAACGACGAGAGACAAGAGCAAGAGATATAGGCCCTGGGTAGAAGCGACCCGCGCTCAACCCCAGCACGGCGGAGCAGACATTGATGGGGGGGGGGGGGGCTTTTTGAGAAGGCTTCGGAGGAAATGCGACGAGACCTCGGGAGGCAGAGATCTCCCAAGGAGATTCATTCTACTTGAGACGGCGCTCCAAAGCATCACGTCTTGTTCTTGCTGGGGAGGGGGGATCAAATTAACGTTTTTTTGTCTTTGAATTAGTCTTCTCCACCAACCTCTCACTCTGACTCGTTGCTACTCGATGCACCCGCGTACACTACGGATACCAAGCAACAAGGCAAGCTACGCTAGCGAACCCACCGAGGTGAAGCTGGACGCCGAAGTAGAGCGGGGAAACGATCGTGGCACTTTTTTTTTTTTCTTTCTCGGACATTCATCTCTAAAACTCTTTCGCGCTCCTCTCTAAGCCCTTGGTCGTAGTGCTCCGGGCGGAGAGGTCCAGCAGACATGACATAACAGCAACAACCTCAAACCTTAGTCAAAAGATCTGCCCGATTCGCCTTCATGATTTGACATTCGGTTGGCTCCGGCAGTCGTCTTAAGTGTATCGGGACACAGCCGAGGGGCACATTGTCAGCCTCCGGAGACGAGAATGGGATCATGGACTGTTTCTCGGACCTGGCAAGGACTCTGGCTACAGACAGGGGACAACCTCAAGGGATCGATGGACACGCGAGTCGGAGAAATAACACAAGGCAGAACACAGGCCCCCAAACGTCGCACCGAGATGGTTGGACGTCGTGTCGTTGCTTCACCAGAAAAGCACAAACCACCAAGCACTTTTGATGGTTTGTTTTGGCAGCGGCAGCAGCAGATCCATACCACAGTGGACAGTGGGTATAGTTGGAGTTTGCCCATCAACCCCCTGCCACGGCATCGACCCAGGTCCTGGTAGGGAACTTGTGTGAGTGCTGTGGTTCGAAAGCTCGGACTCGACGGCACAGGCTTGAAACCATGTCTTGAATGACCGTCAGGTCTCTCTGGCTGATGTTACCTGGTAGGTCCTAGACCGTATCTGGCGTCGCGGAGATTTGTAGCTTAGACTAGGAGAGCTTTCAACTCGCCTGATGGTCCTTGGCTGTTCTCTTCAGGACGGTGTCCACCAGCTGGGCACCTTCATTCTCATCGCCGCCGCATCGCGCTGGCGCTTCTTTCGGCATAGCATACTACGGGGCAAGGTCCGCATGGGTGATGGGGAGCCCAAGGGGGAAGTACGCACGGATGCCCATGATCCATGACCGCATAACGTTCGCCAGTCGTTCTAGTGGACTAGAGATGGGAACAGGGTCCTTCCTCTTCCGGTCGGAATGGGAAACGATGCAATGACACTCTTCCTCGATAGACCAGGACCGGGGCGGGGCTCCAGCTGAGAGTTCGAGCTTCTTATCCTTCAAGGTTGTGGCATGACGGGAGTCGAACTCTCCTGCTTTTTGGACAGTTCTCGCCGCGGCAATATCAGCTTCCAGAAATGTCGAGACGATGGTGGCAGAGACGCACTCGTCATCTGACTTGGGACGATTGCGTGTGCAACTTCGGAACGCAGAGGCTCCTGTCCTCAAGGACTCGATCAACCACGCAACAGCGAGGCGAGAAAAGCTGTACGAAAATTGGGATGTAGAGTCGCAGACACAGGCGCGCCGCAAGCAATACCTATACCCATGCCCGCGGAGGCTATTTGTTGGACCCAGTGCTGGGGCCGCCCGATTGGGGTCATAGGGCAGGCGGTAGGTACTCCGTACAACAAATGGGCATTGGGTGTCGTTGGGAATGGAGAGAGAGAGCCACTCGCTGTGGGCGTACACACGGAGAGAACCGCTTCCACTGCAGCCATGCTGCTGCCACGGGCCAAGGTGACGGGACCTTTGTGTAGGGTTCTGGCGACGGACGGTACTACATGTCACCACACCCAGAGCCATAGAAAGGCAAGCAAGTTGAGTCCACATGACGATGTTGGCCTCCTAGTCGGGTTCTGACCGAATACATCATGAAGAGCACCCTCTCAGGCTCTCAGCCCCGGAGAGGACTAGTCGGATGCAGACCATGCAAGCTCAAATGGCGAATGCCGAGGGCAATGGATTGTTACTCTGGGCGGTGCTCAACTCAACTTGTCCACGGTCGCCGCCTGCTATTCTCATGCTATAGGTCCCGCAACTCAATTGTCGACGCTATTACCTAAGTTACCTGAGTGTGCCAGCTGGGTGACGGTGGTCTACCGAGCCAGGAGATGATGACTTTGGTCACAGCTTGACAGAGAGGCCCAGTATGGAGGGGCCCGCGAAGAGGTATCCATCCGCGAGTCCCAAACATGAGGGCTTTTGGCGGCCATGGGGATGTTGTCCTGGATCGCGGAGTCTGTCTACCCCTTGATTCCTCTGTTTTCGTCTTCCTCTCCAGTCTATAGTTGGGATGGACGAAAAAAGCAGCGGATACTGCTTGCCGCCCGAGCTCCGGTCTGGCGGGCCCTTTTGACTTTTGCCCGAACGTTCATATTGCCTAGATTTCCTGCTGAATGGTGTCACGAAAAATCAAGGGCACAGAGCTAAGCTCGCATGAAGCTGAGCCAAGTGGTTGTCTGGGACTGGACGGTGGGCGGTGCACTCTGTCATCGGCTGAGTGGGCGCGTTGCACGAGCATGTTTGCATGAGCATGAGGGCAAAGAGGACGAGAGACCGAAAGATGGGATGGGATGGGATGGATTGAGTTGAGTTGGGCTGGGCACATCGTCCATGACTGGTTCGGCAGCGTCGCAAAGAGTCACCGGCACAGACGCTGGCACAGACAAGCAACGATACAATACTCGCTGACTGGCGATTGCTTCGCCTCCATCGTGTCGACTAGCTCCCTGTCGACACCTCGCCCGCAGCGTGTCATTGGACTGGATCGGGACAAGATTGGCCCCTGCCCCTATTGTCTGACCTCTTACTTCTGAGGCTCATACAGCTTCTCGGCCGGTGGTCGTGAGGTTCAGTCAAGCGAGCATCGAAAATAGAGAGGCTATACGGAGCGATAATGGAGCAGCATGGCATGGCATGGCATGGCATCAGCGGCGCGATGCAGTGATGCGATGATGGGCCGGTAGCAGGGGACAGCAAAGGTAACGAAGCCATCCCCGAAGGAGACAAGCAGCGAAAGCAGCCGCGAGAGTGAGACCAGCGGCAGAATCACCAACAGCAGCAACTGCGACGGCGCCAGGGAGGCGAAGGTAACAGAGGCAACGGGGCCCTGTGCCAGCGCCCGAGGAGAAACCAGCCACACATTCAGCGGATGGCTAACTGGGAAGGGCATAGCAGAGGAACGCGCTAGAAAGTCGCCAGATGGATCATGGAGATGGTGCGGCTTGTCTACTAGCGCTGGAGAGCATGTTTCCGTCGGCGAACTTTGGGACGTGAAAGCAAAAAAGCGAAGCAAAGCAGAAGCAGCAGCTTGAGGCGCAGCAAACCCAAGGGCCGTCTCCCAGTGGTCGGTTCGGTATGGAGGGGGAGTGTGGGTTACTCGGAGAGAGAGAGAGAGAGAGGTGCGAAAGCAGGTGGGAATTCGGCATGGACACGATGCGAGCATGCTGCGAGACGACGATTCCCACAGCTGTTCAGCCCCATTGTGGACTAGAATCCTCAGCACGCGGCGTGGGGATGAGAGAAAGTCTTGAGAGGGTGAGGTGAGAGGCCAAAGTCAGTCACAGTCAGTCAGTCACTCGCTCACTAACACACACATTTCCTCTCTTGTAGTTTCTCTTACCTTACCCCCCCTTCTCTCTCAGTTTCTCTCTCGCTCGCTCACTTACTCACCCGCCCCTCGGCTTGGTTGGTCAATCATCTGTCTTCTCTTGGATGGACTTAACCCCACCGCTTGTTTTCACTTCTCGGTCACTCCCACTGGTGGCCCCCAGTCACCAGTTAGTGGCCCTTTCGCCACGACCCCCGGTCTCTCCCTCCCTCTGCGTTAGTTCTTTTGCAAGTGAGAACCGCCGCCGCCTTTGATTGGGGCCCAAGAAGCCGGCTCACCCACGGGAGAAGGGGCCCAGGGTTATTTTTAATTTTGGCTCTTTTTTGGGTCGACTTTTGGCGGGTGAATGGGGAGATTGGCGGTGCGATGGACAGACAGCACATTGCCCAGTACAGCACAAAACTAACATTTCGGGCATAGTCATGTCTTTACACTCGACACTACGACCCTACTACGGCCGTCTTTGACAGATACCGACGTTGATAGACACGGTAGACGCGGAATAGCGCCGAGCGTCTGCTCGTCTAAGGAAATCCCAGACTACCTACCTTGCGGTTGGTTACCTTTTTTACCTTAGACTACGAACGACTACCGGATACTGGGGCAAGCTGCTCGGGTCCCGTGTCGATACACGCCCGAACATCAAGACATGATGATGGCCGTTGACATCAAGCTCATCAGACATGACAAGGAATCTTTTAGTTAGTACCTATTCATCCATGCCGGCGGCGACTTCGACCCATTATCTCCTGTATCTGTACTCCTCTCATTCGTCTTCACCCCCATTTGTTCAGTACGTACTCATCTTCTTCCGCCCTGCCGGATTCTTTTTGTAGTCGTCCCATCCTCGATGAGAAATAACGATTCTTTGCATCTCTCATTCTCATTCTCTCTCGTCTGTCCCCCCCCAGTCTCTCCATGCATTAAAGCACATGCACACGCCTGCGTTACCTTGTGTACGGACACACACAGCCAATCCTTACCATCTCCCTCGCCTCGATTCTTTGGCTGACCATAGCCGGGATCCCTGCTCTTATTCCCCTTCCCATCTTAGAGTCCCATCTCATCCCAATCCATCCCATCCCATCCCCTCCTATTGTACCTATCTCAACAGGGCATCGCGATTCACTTCTGCCCCCCTTACGGACTCCAACGGTACGGAGAGAAGGAAGAAGAAGAATAAGCTCCGCGACGCACCAGTCTTCACCGACACACTCCAAGCCTCTCTGTCCAACAGGCTTAACCCCAGCCGCGGACGACTGTGTCAGAACCCGCGAAAACCCTGTTTCTCGGATTCAGAACCTGCCGGGTCCGTCATTACTGAGGCCACTCACTCTGTATCTGTCACTTTTGGAAAAGGCATCAGCAGTTAGAGAGAGCCAGGACAATAGTGTACGAATACACTGCCCATACTCTCATACACCCGACACCCGACACCCACACAACACGCACACACAAATACATAGATACATCTCGCACATCGCTGAGAGTGAGAAAGAGAGAGAGAGAGTTAATGACCCGGTACGTACGGATTTCACACTGCCTAGTCCCAGCAACGATCCCAGCACGGACGGCCCCTCCCCTCCACAGTCCACACATGTCCCTGTCCCATCCATTCTGTCTCCTCTCATAGCCCTGCACCTTGCACCCGCACCTTACGCCGGGGTCTGCGCACCTGGACATCTCATTCACATCCACACACACTCACACACACATACACACACCCACCCTCGCCCAGATGGAGAGGAGCACCAGCTGCAGCAACCTGCACAGCACAGCTGTTTTTCTCTTTGCTTTTCCTCTGCCCTTGCTCACAGGTCATGCCCCGTTATTCCCACCCGGTGGTCATGCCTTGCCCCGATTAGGCTGGGACCTGGTGTGGCACTTCTCAACCGTGTGTGCCGCCCTCTTCTTGAGCCAAAAGCCAGTATGGACGGAGCCTGTGTGTGAGTGGTGTGTGTGTGAGGTGTGTGCTGTGCCTGCTGCGGCCACTGTCTCTCCTCCTCTTGGGGACGTGAGGGCGAGGTGCCATTATTTAACCGTATCTGTCCCCGGCCCATCTACCACCGCCTTTTCCTGTCTCCCCTCCTCTCAGCCTACATCCAACATCAAATCTCATCAGCCTCGTTGAGCTGCTCGCGCTGTCCTCAACCACATTCGCTTTTTCCTAACTCTACTCTTAGGAAGTCCTCGTTGACTCCTGTCATTCGCTTTCGCGTTCTTGTGTTTTTCTTTTTCCGCCAAAATCTCAAAACCACCCTCCTCGAAGCCAACCACCTCCCGCCCTCTTGTTTCAATTATCTCTCTCCCAACAAGATCCTCGGAAGAGAAACAAACTAGAACACAAAAAGGAAAGGAAAATCAAACCCTCCAACCCGCGCTCAGTCTACCCCAGCAGCCTCAGCCTCGAAGCATCCATCGCCAAATACCCTGGTCTCCAGCCTCAACAACTCCCGGGATTCGCTAGCTCACAACCCCGCCTCTCCCACAACTTGGCTTACAACCAGCAAATGCTCCATCACTGAATATCGGTCTTCTGATCAATCACATTCGCTTTTTCGGAAACAGAGGACTTGAGATATACAACGGAAATTCGGGAAACCCAGAACCCACCCACCCACGATCGCTATTAGTATCAGGAACTGGGAACAGAAGAAGAAGAGAAAAGAAAGGAGATCAAGGACAGAAAGAGACGTAAGAGGAATCCGCCAAATCGATTATCGAGCACAGCGGCTTTCTTTACCAATTTTCCTGTCATCACCTCACACCAAGCGCCAGACCAACCCGCTGCCGATCGCTTACACATCCGTGGACGCATTTGCTCCTTTGCACCGCCTGCCCCGGTCCATCGACACTCTTCCGCAGTATTAAAGTCTAGTCCTGAGACTAAGCCTTACGTTGCTTTCCCAGTAACGATCCTCCACTCGCTATCCATACACGGTCGCCTGTCCGTGTACACTTCCATGTACGTATTGTGCCTGTCCATCGTTTCCCGCTTTACACTGACACGTATAGTTCTTTCGTTTAGTTCATCCCCGTGCTCACAATGGCCGGTCCTGGTGGTGGTCCTCCCCGCCGCAGTCACACCAAGTCCCGCAAGGGCTGTGAGACTTGCAAGCGCCGTCACATCAGATGCGATGAGAACTTTCCCCAGTGGTGCGTACTTCCTGCTCTGTTCCCGAACCGGCAACTAACACAACCCAGCCGCAACTGCACCAAGCACAAGATTCGCTGCCCCTACAACGACATGCCCATGCCCGAGGACAGGTCAACAACGCCCGACAAGCCCGACCTCATGTGGACTCCTGAGGTCGAAGCAGAAATCTCGCAGTGGCAACAGACGGGAATGTTCCCGTTCCCCAACCTAGGCATCTACCCGGCACCGAACCCTCAGTACTTGTCCGTAGAGGATCTCAGATTGATCTATCACGTAGCATCCATCTGCAACGAGTTGGCTACCTTTGATGCCAACGGCTTCACCCTCTGGACACGCCAGATCCCCACGTAAGTAGGAATTCGCTTTTTCCACGCCAAAACTATACTGATCCAAAATAGTATCATCAAGATCGGAGCGACGAATCCGTATGTCATGCATGCGCTTTTGGCTTTCTCGGCCACGCACATTGCCTTCCTGACCGACTGCCCCCTGGTTGGCAACATGGCATACGAGCACCGCGGCGTCGCTCTCAAGGGTCTGCAGGAGGCTATTGGCATGTTCGACCGCGAGACGTCGGATGCCGTCTTGGCAGCCTCTCTTGTCCTGTCGTGGCAAGCCACAGATTGGTAGGCAACTAGCAGCAACCATCCGCTATGCAGCACCGTGCTAACGCAAAAATTGCAGGCGAAGCTGGACCCAGCTCATGCAAGGAACCTCATCGGTATGTTGTACACATGGAACCGCCAGGATTTGAGGAGCATTACTAACTCGCACTCTTTAGGTCATCGAGGCCATGGATTCTTGGAAGCACGAGTCCCAATTTGGCGACTTCATCGCCGAGAGCTGCACATTCCCAACCGCTCCCGCCTCTCCCAGTCCGGATCACAAGCCGAGCCAGCCACGCAAGGAGGACATTGACGCCTTCAACCGCACCCTGAGCCAGCTCCAGAAGGTCGAGGCCCATCTCAAGCACAACAAGGAGGACACCAAGTCAATCCAACAGTTGATCAGCTTCCTCAAGGGCGCCCGCAAGGTCAGCCCCACGCTGTCCGTCTCACAGCAGTTTGAGCGCCTTCGTCCCCTGCGGACGTGGCTCTTCTGGCTGCCGGTCATGTACCTCAAGCAGACGGGCGGGTCGCCCAGCGCACTCATCATCATCGCCTACTACTACACGGTGGCCCTGATCATGGAGCGTCTGTTCACCGAGATTGGCGCCGCCTACTTTGGCAGTCTGTCCATTGGCCCCGTTGAGGAAATCGCCCGCCGCCTTCTGTCTATCAATATCTCGGCCAACCACGACGGCGACCTGCAGACCCCCTTGACGCTCATGGAGTTCCCCATTGACACGGTCAACGAGTTCCGCTCGAGGATGGGTTGGATCCAGCCCGCAAGAACGCCCTCGTTCCCGCAGTTCAACCCTCCCAACTTCTACATGAGCGAGCCAGTTCCCCTGCCTCCCGTCAGCGACTCGTATCTGCCATATGGTCACAACCCTGCCTTCAGCTACAGTACCGAGTCCCTGCAGATGCTCAACGCCGAGTCGGCGCCGCCCAGCAACGTCGCCCCCTTGGTGCTGTCGTCCCCGTACGTCAACTCGCAGTATCTCAACATTCCCAGCCCCAACTACGGCGGCTACAGCCCGGCATCTTCGACATTTGAGGGCTCCGTTGCCTACAGT